GGTGGGGCGAACACTTGGCTCATATTCTTTCCACTGAGCTTCAGCAAAGCGCGTTCGGATTCAGAGTCTCGACGCATTATTTGGCGAGGCTTGTTCTGTCGAACCGGAGATAGCTCGCGTTTTTGCGTCTCTTCTTGCAACGCCTCTTCTTGCGAGCTGGTGAACTCTGCAGGGTTGAATTCACCCCAGTTGGGTTTGATCGGCTCTGCGGGTTCGGCATCCGAGTTGGGGAGTTGTGCTTGCTCTTTTGCGCGCAACGATTGTCGGTATCGCTTTTGGTCTTGTAAACGGGAGTCGGGTCCCTCCTCCTCTTCTTCTATCGCTGTACGAAATGACGGGACTTTCAAGCCAGTGGTTTTCACCCAAGCTTCGGCTACAGCTCTATATTTTTTCTTCAGCACCCATATGTCATCCTCTAATGAGGCGAGATCCCCGAAGAGCTTGTTTTGTGTTTCACGCGAATCAGCCAACTGTCAAGAAAAGCGCGTCAACCAATCCGTCATTTACTCCAGAACATCCTTACCGATCCACGAATAATATGACGCGAAAGATCGCTCGACTCTAGCTAGAGGGGAGGTGAGTTCAAGGTTTACTACTTGAAGGCATGGGCTGGCCGTACATCGTTTAGTGCGTTCTCGCGTTCCTTTGCCATGATTCTAATGGCTTCCTCGAGTCGCAAAATCTTTCTTTCGAGGACAATTCTTACACTGACGCCCTGTTTAGAATATTAAAAAATTGTTAGCACGAAATGCACCAATGACTGCCGCAACGCCGAGGCAGTGAAGTGGATAAGAGGGGCCGCAAGCGGCACTGACCTTATTAAAGGAGGTTTTAAGCTGCTCATTCTCGCGTTGAAGTGTTGCTATTTGCTCTTTGAGTGAGACGATTTCGCGTTCCTGGCCATCCGCATGAGTATTGACGGCCGCAATCTGGTCCAGCCCAAAGTCAGCCTTGGTTGAACATCGCGATCGGCTGGCCCTATCTGCGGCACTTGGCCGCATCAAGGGTAACCACCAATGAAACAAATCATAGAAAAGGTGAAATAGGTGGTTCTACTAAGAGACTTACAAAGTCGGAGATGTAGTCGTGGAAGTAGTCCCCAACGTCGCTCCAAGTCCCCCTTGAGGGTCTTTCTCTGGCCGTCTCAGCTTCCTGAGACATGAAGAATTATTTGAAAGTAGTTTGGGCGTCTGGGGCAACGATACGGGCTCTGCGATAAGGGGGGGGGAAAGTCGAGAGAAGGTTCAACCTTTGTCGACCTTGTTAGGCCATGTTTGTGTCTCTCACCATCAGCAACAAAATGTATTACAACGCCTCAAAATACTATCTTTAAGAAATATATAACCATATATAAAAGCCAAAAACAATGTTTAAGATGAGCCCCGCACGGATCGCCCCCAGCATCCCATCCGAAAATACTAAGCTGGGCTGGGGCTCCATTGCAATATCAAGACACCTCATCGGTGCATCCGTCGGGGATAAAGAATTATTTTCAGTAAATTCTTCCTCTCCTTCAGTGGCGGTATCACCACGCGCCGCTGTCCCCATGGTTTCTTCTTGGGCATAGTCCGATCGCTCATTATTAGAATTTTGCGCATTATTAGATCCCTCAGGGACTGGGTCGCTTGGCAGCTGCCAGATACTAGAGAGCTCAGATGTATCTGGCTTCAACTCCGGCCAAACGTTTCCGTCAAAAAAGGCAGGAGGTCGCGAAACCATCTCCACAACCGACCCAGCTATAAAGGGGAAAAAGAAACCAAAGATCAGCCCTTGTGTCGTTGTACGAGCATGGGAAGCATGGACAGATGATGGAAGGAGATAGTTGAGAAATGAGCGAGAAGATGTTGGCTCATTCTCTTCAAATATCGACGGTTGGGTGATAGAGTCCAGCCATTGCGATTCTAAACGATTAAACTGTGCGGTCGTAGGTGCTAAATGTATACAAGTTAGGACCTGCCTCGACCCTGAAAAAAGGCGTACCATAACCGGTGTTTGTGGACAATGCCGCAGCCTCGCTATTTCCAAACATCAATCGGCGAAAGATGGTTCGGATAGATTGGACATCATCCTGTGATAAACCTGCGTCTGTTAAACGCTCGTATGCCACTGGAACCTCCGAGTCGGTCTACTCAAATCATTAGCCACCAAATTTTGATAAGCATTGGAGACTTATGCACGTTAGGAGCAGCGTTTGGATCGTTTTCATCTTCCGCATTACCCACTGCACAGTGTAGCCAGATCGCCTCTCGTGTGCTCTGTTTGCTCGCACTACTCGTCTCACCAGACAGTCGTGGATCGGTGCTGGTTGGTAGTTGTTGTTCTTCTGAGTTTCGAATGTTGTCCTGGAGTTGACGAAGCATACTGAGAGGAGTGTGATCCACAACAAGTCTACCAGCATAGATTAACTTCAGTTGCCTGCCCCCGATATCTGGACGTTTCTCCCGTATCTAGTTTCTCAATTAAATTAGCAAATACGGGGGCTCTTTCCCCACTGGACTTACCTCCTTGATGATCGTACTGCCAGTGTCGGTGGCAGGCAACTGAAGTTAATCTATGCTGGTAGACTTGTTGTGGATCACACTCCTCTCAGTATGCTTCGTCAAC